GCTGGTAAAAGAAACGTGTTACCTTTCTGCTGAACAGCACATTTACTGGGCACTGAAGGGGCCTTCCTACCAGTCGATGTAACAGCACTAACCAGCGGAGTTAACATATGTTCAAGGGTGCCAGCCCAGCTAGCATCATGATAAAAGGAGAGAAGATTGAGGTTGTCAATGATTTCATCCACAAACAACGTTCACAGAAGCAATAGTCAAGAGAGCAAATGGTGCATTGCTTTGTGCAAATTTGCTTCACAAGACCTCTTTAAAGTGTTAACAAGCAAGGATATTATTTTGAGTACTAAGGTGTATCTGAACAAACCATGGTATTTTCAATTGCCTCGAAAGCATGTGAAAGTTGGACGCTGAAAAGGGGAAACTGGAAAAGAATGTATGCATTTGCACGGTGGTGCTGGTGATGCATATCGAAAGTCCTATGGCCTGCCAAAAGAACAAATAAATCTCTCTCAGAAGAAGTAGGGCTGGGCCGCTCCTTAGAAGCAAGGATGGCGAGACTTGGTCTCAGGACGTTTGGGAGGTGTTATCAGGAGAAATCAGTTCCTGGGGAAGGAGCTCATGCTTAGTCAAACAGAGGAGCCGTGAAAGACAGGAAGGCCCTTAACAGGCGGACGGACCCAGTGGCTGCAACAATGGCTCAAACAGAAGAACAACTGTGAGGCTGGCGCAGGAGCGGGCAGGGCTCATGCTGCTCTGCGTAGATAGGGCCAATATGTGTCCGAGCTGACACAGGAGCACCTGACACCAAGTCCCAGATCGGTCTGGGAAGTTTCTGAGTCATTAATGAACATTGTTTATTACAAAAATACAAAGTGTGTATATTTAAAATCCTTTTACCTTAATTGTTAAAGTGGTAAAATGATTCACCCAGGAAATCCACCCCACCCTCCTGCTTACACGCCGATTTCTGACTCAGTGACTGCACTGGACAGAATGGAACTACCCCATTGGGTTTCCTAGACTGCAATCTTTACAAGGGGTTCCCTGATGGTGCAGTGGTGAAAGCCCATGGCTGCAAACTGAAAGGCTGATAGTTCCAACCCACCAGCCCCTCCGCAAGAGAAAAGAGTCTGTCTGCTTCTGCAAAGATGTACAGCCTTGGAGAGCAGGTGGGTCAGCTCTGCCCTGTTCCATAGGGTTGCTATGAGTCAGAAAGAAGCACCTTGGAGGTGGTGGGGTTTGAACCTTTCCAGGAGCCCATTGCCTGGTCTTTCTCCCACACAATCACCAGGTGGGTTTGCACCGCCAACGTTTAGTTTAGCGGCCAGGTGCTTAACCACTGCTCCACAGGCTACTGCCAGCTTTTTCAATACAGGCAGTTTCCAGGCTAAAAACTGTCTGCAGAAAAATCCAGCTTTCTACTGCCCTGTGGAGCTACAGTCTTGAAAAACCAGTAGCAGCAGTTCTACCTTGTCTTGGGGGGGCCGCAATGAATCGGTGATTATGAGTTTAGTTCAGTTTGGTTGTCCTGTGTCTTTAAGAATGTGTAAGTTGGAACAGGTGCGCACGGTTCTTATTTAGCCTGACGTTACGTCAAGAAGCTGGGCGGCGTTTCCGTGCTTTGAAAACAGCAGGTGAGGCATGCAAAGGGTGTTGTAATGAAGAACGGGCTCTGAGTAGGGCTTGTTTGATTGCTTCAAAGTGAAGGCAAATTAATCTAGTATTAAAGGCCAATTGTGTATTATCATCAATACGTGTATAAGTTGTTCTTAGAACAGGAACTGCCTGTCTACTGTTTCGCCCCTGTGTAAAAAAATAAAATAAACCATTGTTACAGAGAAAACTAATCTACATGTAGAAACCGCTACTATTATTAATATGATAGCTTTTAAACCCATAAAAATAATAGCAGATAACACTTATGGAGTACTTGTTACATGCTAGACTATTTTGTGCAGTTTACATGTATTAACTTAATGGTTTTCCACCCAGACTGCCAATTAGAATTATCAAGGGAACTTAAAAAAAATGTTCCACCTGCAAACACTCCCGGACTGACCAGAGGGAACATCAGTGCTTCCCATGTGCAGCCGGACTGGAAATGAATGTATCAGGACACTCCCGACTACAAATTTAGAAAGGGCTATCATGATCTTGGTTTCACAGTGGGGAAAGGGAGAGGCATAGTTCACAAGCAGCCAGTGTTGGAAGGTGAACCCAGCCAAGCAGTCTGGCTCCAAGATTTGAAGTCTTTACCCCTAAGCTAGAGGCAAGGGTTGGTCCCGTGTTAGAATTCCGTATATCTCCCTGCAGGAGGCCTGGTGGCTCTGTGGTTAAGTGCTTTCTCAAAGAGTCGCCCGGTAGATCCAAGAAAGAAAAGCCCTGGTAATCAGCTCAGGTAAAGATCACCTGCGAAATTCTGTCAGGCAGTTCTACCCTGTCCTATAAGGTCACTGTGAATTGGGATGGACTCAATGACACACAATGATAGCAGGTGGTAGGCCTGAGTGCAATTGCTGACCACTGCGCCTTCAGCACAGCCCCTGCTCCTCTGTCCGTGGAGGCTCGCAGGGCTCTGTGGTGCTCAGCAGTTTTCGGTGGAACATTCAGGCTAAGGCAAACTAGGAAGAAAGGCCTGGCAACTGACTTCCAAAAGTCAGCGAATAAAAGCTCTGTGCATCATCACCGTTCAATCTCATGGTGTGCTCAGGGAAACAGACCCCAGAGGGAAACCCTGAGTTGTCACTCCCTAGGAATGAACCCTCAACCACTCAGTTATAGGACTCCCCAAAGACACCGCACCGTTGTACTTTGGAAGCACACTTCCATTCACCTGAGAGGCATAAAAGCGGCAGCTCTGTCATTTCTTTGCAGGTAGATCGTTTCTTGTTTTCTCTTCTGGCTTGATCCTGGCTGAGAAAACAAGCAGGATCCTAATCACAGAATGACTTGGTGTGCACATGACTGGGAAGCTGACCAAGCCTGTGCTGGTGCTGAAATCAGTCACTGATGTTTACTGTTCAAAGTTATCTTCCCCCATTTGGCTAACTCGGTGCCCCAGAGTTCCTCCCACAGCCCGTTCTCTGACTCGTGGCCTTCACGTCCTTCTCAAATAAACACTGCCAGGACCGACAGCAAACGGGACCTTTCCTTTTCTCAGCTGATAGTCCTCCTCCGAGGCCAGTAGGCTCGAAAGTTCCAAAGCAGTTGCTCAAACAGGAGAGAAGCGAACATGTTCTGCGTGTTTCACAAAGGAGAAACTGAAAGAAAGCCTAATGCTGCGTCCTCTCCCCCAGCTTCTCCTCTGGGCAGTCACAGCAGTAACAAAGCGTCAATTTACCTGGATCTTGTCAGACCACAGAACATTCCTCCTGCTGGGCCAGGACCTCTCTCAATGCCAAGGACAAGAAATACAGCACAAACAACTTAAGCTGGGGGAGGGAGGAATAGACCAGGGAGGTCATTTTTTTTAAGAGGAGAAAAAAAAAATATTCTCAATGCCAGGCGGTGACAGAGATTTATCAGCTAACTTGAGACATGAAGTGTCAAGTGGGGGGACTTAAACTAGTGACTTACCAAAAAAATGAGAGAGCAAAGAGACAGAGTCTCGAAGTGGCACCCAGGCAGCCCACACTCCATGGGGTCTGTGCCATGTTACCGCACTGTTCAAAGAAGACATCTCCTGCTGGGGCTTGATCAGAAGCTTAGAGAAGACATGGAGCCCAAGAGGCTATGTACTGAGCTCAGCTGCTAACCAAAAGGCTAGTAGTTTGAACCCACCCTGTGGCACTTTGAAAGAAAGCCCAGGTGATCCACGTCTGCGAAGATCACAGTCTTCCCACCATCCGCAGCAGTTGCCTCACACCCAGAATTGCTGCAAGGCACGCTTCTACTCGCCAGGACCTAACCGCCACCGCACAACCTGCTGATGGCTATGCTGGGCGGGCTGTTTCACCCATATGGGAGCCTCACCACATTCTGGAAAGGCCCGTGTTATTCTTATCATTAGGTTATTTTGTATTATATATGATAGCATGTCACATCACTTCCAGTGGTATTCCCATGCAACTCGACTCTTACATGGTGGTGTGGATGTGAACTAGATCCGTCAGCTCCTAAAACGTGTGTTTCTTCCATTCTGTGTCACGCTATGACAAGAAACACACCAAGGAATGTCAGCAGTTTATGTCCCCAAGTGAATGGCCAGGCCTGCCCTTGCATGAGATTGGCGATGCATGCCTGGGGGTAGTAATAAAGCGCACTAGTGGAGAGGGAGCAGAGAACAGGGGTTAGAGGCAGGTCTCGGGAAATGGATTAAGGCAGAAATGTTCTTTGTCATCATGAAAATTCTTGTTTCTCCTCGACTTAAGACTGCATTTAACAGAGAGGGGACGCGTTGCTTGTGTGCCCACTGCTGTTCCTTAAACAGCGGTCAATGTCACACTGCACCTGTTACTAACACAGAAGCGCTGAGTCAGAGATGGAGAAACAGCAGGGGAGACCGGAAAGGAGTTAACTTTGAACTAGGTTCATCTTCACAGCTATGGACTCATGTTTGTTCACAATTCCTTTCATAGTTTCTACCGACATTAACACCTTTTAGAGTCACCAGAAAGAAGACCTCTCCCACCCCCACCCCCACCCCCACATTTATGGTTTAAATGGAGACAGTCACGAAATCAATCAATCAAACACATTTCAGCACTTTCCAATCATGGACTAAGGAAACCAGCTAAGGGTTTAGTGGCCACTCCCAGCAGCAGAAAGGCTGCTGCCTGGGTCTGAGGACAAGCAGGCCAATCTGAGCCATCCGGGACAGAAAAGAACCGTTTTTTTTTGAGAGAGAGCCGTACATTTTTATAGGTACAGTACATTTTATAGAGATGAGTTCTCGCAGCTGTTAAAATAAACAACCAATAGGAAACAAACTGAAGCAAATGTACACATTCAGAAACAAGTCAGGGAAGACAACCACAACAAAAGACAAGGCGTAGGTAGGTGAGAGCGGTGCCAGGAGGCTGTGCACTGAGCTACATTTCCGTACTTACCCACACAAGGAGTCTCTCCATTTCCTGCAGGAGGGCTGTGAGGACAGTTCTCCAGGTGCCGAGCTGAGAGGCTGACGGATGCAAATGGAGCAATTACTGAGAGGAGGAGACTAAGTGCGAGCAGTGGCATCTTGCTGGGAATGAACTTTCAATAGCAAGTGAGCTGATGCTGCCAGAGAAGAGCCTGGGCAAGGTGAGCGGGCCTGACCCCCAGCTTGACTCCCAAGGCGGCTCTTGGGCCCTGGGGCATCTTTTGACTCGTCTGTTAAGTTGCCTTCTCCTGCAACTGAAGACAGCTTCCAAATGCAGCCCGGAAGGCAAGCACCTGAAAGATTTCTTGATCTAAGGCAGTAAGAAATACCGGGCACCCTGGCGACCAGAGGAGCAGTTTCCCAGGCGAGCTCTGGAGGCCTGTGGCAGGCAGAGAAGCGAGGCAAAGGCCAGGGCGGAAAAGGAAAGGACAGAATCAATGGAAAGTTCCCCTCCAGATCCTGGAAAGAAATACGGAGAGACAGTGTCTCCTTTGAAAAGTAGAAGGGCTCTCCTGTCCCTTTTAAAGCTGTCTTGGCTCCACCTCCTCGTTCAGTGACACTCCAGTGAGCCTCTGTTTGCAAATGCCAATGTGGGCAACTCCACACCACAGGAAAGCAGAGCCGGCTGCCAAAGAGGAGATAACTCAGGCTCCCCATAAATATGCCATGCAGGACCATGGAAAGGGCAATGGGGGTGTGGGGGGAGGGGGGCGTAGCAAGCATATGGTGTCGTGAAGCCACCCGTGGAATACCAGCACTAGTTCCATGTTTTGAAGGACGGCGACTAAATTAAACCATGCAGTCTATAAATCAGTGGTGAACACCGCCCCTGGTCACGCAGATGGATGCTAGCTCATCTTTCACATGAGCAATACTAATAGCTCTTGCCCAGCCCATTATTTGACGGAGATGTCAACACCCCACCCCCCACATTCCTGGAGACCTAATCTCTCTTCTCACTCCTGGATATTTTATAGCGGAATGTAGAAGATTATTCTTTCCGAATCAAAGGGAAATCCCTGATGCCAAATAAAGAGATAGAGCATGATGGACAGACACCTTTTCTTTCAGCATGTTCATCATAAAAGCATCATGAGGGGCCAGGCGTGTGGAGCAACAAGTGGATTGTTATGATAGAGTAGTGTTGGAAAAAGTTAAGCTAACCCAGCAAACGCCCTGAAGCATTGAAAACCCAGCACAGCCGAATGCTAGTTCTGTAGGGACCGAAGCCACAGGTGTCCACTATGGACTGAGCAGACCTCATCGCACGGTCTAGCTCGGGCAACAGCAGTTCTTTTTTCAGGGACATAGAAACCCAGGGCCCAGATAGGTCTAGCTCAGGCAAACCATTTCAACCAGTATTGGCTGAAGGGTGGAAAGTTTCTGCTCATTTCCTCCGTCCTGCGAAACAGCCTTCCATTCACACTGCCCAGAGGTAGAGTTGCAAGCACAAGTCTAACTGTAGATAGAGCAATAGTCACAAAAAATAACAGCCATACAAGCGAATGCTCCTTATGGAGGATCATGGGAATCTCCTCTAAACCTCCCTCCAATATGTAATTATGCACCAATGATTCTGCAAAGACTATGTCACTCTTTTGAAGCAGCAATATTGGGATTTTTCCAATATTGACCAGCGGCTGCCAGGCAGCTCTGTCTTCCCTCTTACAGGAGGGAGGAACCCTGGGCAGGGGGAGCAGAGTTGTCATGCATAAAGGTTGGATGGAACAGTCCCTTGCTTTGCAGACTCATTCAGATTTAAGAACGAGTGTCCTCCACACCCCCTGCCCTGATTATTCAACATACTAGCCTTGTCAACAACTTCTCCTTCAGCAAAACTCATGGCCGGTACAATGGCGGAGAGCCATAGAAGGGGCTTCCAAGAGAGTCAAGCATCCAGCTATGTAAATGGGAAGGAGTAAAAGAAAGTAAACACAAGCATGAAGTGATCCACCACTGTATTCTCTGAGGAGCTCTGGTGACACTCTAGGACATTCACTAGGCTGTTAATCTCATGGTTGATGGTTCAAACCCATCGGCCACTCCATGTGAGAAATAGGATGGTGTCTGCTCCCTTAAAGATTTATAGTTTTGGAAATCCTAAGGAGGATCACTATGAGTCTACTCAGCGGAAGAGGATATATTCTATAAGAGGGATCTTGAAAGTTCATGAAAAAAAGTATATTATCTTTCAATTCCATTTTTCCCCACTAGCTTTTTGAAGCCTTTGTATTTGGGTTTGGGGGTCTTTCCTGTTATTTTTGGTTTTATAAAGATTTGCTTTCCGAATTACTTTTGACCTGGGCCACTGTGCTGTGGGAAAGTGTTGAACTGATAGCTGCAAGCCCACCAGCCTCCAAAGGAGAGAAAGGGGAGGCTCCCATAAAGATATCAGTGTCTGGAATCCTAAGATCTTAGCAATTCTGCTCTGTCCTGTAGGATCACTATGAGTTGGGATTGAATCGATGGCAGTGGATTTGGTTTGATTGATTTAATGTTATCATTGGCGTCCCCTTAGAAGTACGTACAATGGTTAACACCTGTTAACCACAAAGTTGGGGGTTCAATTCCACCTGGAGTGCCTCAGAAGAAAGAGCTGGCCATCTCTTTCCAAACCAATCAGTCATAGAAAACCCTACGTAACACAGTTCTACTTTGACACACATGGGGTCACCAAAGGTCAGAAACAAGTTGACAGCAACTCTTTTAATTTTTTTTAAGATTATCATTCCCGTTGAACATAAACCTCTGAAGATTGGGATGGCAGGTGTAGCACTTAATGGATGAGGAGTCCCAGGGAAGCCATAGGCAATAGAGAGTTGCCCAGATACAACATCAAAGGACAGTGCTAATCAAGGGAAAAGGACTTCCAGGGATAATTTAGTAAGTCCATAGTATTACTTCTAAGTAAAATGGAATCTTTTCCATTGTTACGAATTAACATGTGTAACACACACACACACACACACACACACACACACGCCACCACCAAATATGTTTCTGGGTGTTTCTTGTTGATGTATTAATGAGGCCAATGTGTGATGTCTTAAACCTCACCACTTTTGAGATCTAAAGAGTGTATTAGACCCAGAAGCAAAGAAGCACAGATGGGGGAAGACGGCTATCCAGCCACCTGGAAATGGCCATGGTAGAGAAGCTGAAGAGACAAGGGGCTTCCTTCAGAGCTGACAGACAGAGAATGTCTCCCCCTGGAGCCAGTGGCCTGAATCTGGTCCTTATTTGTACTCATTACAGCCTTGTGTCTGTGATATCTCTGTTACAGTAGCACTAGAAACAAAGACACCTGGGCAGATTAATGTCTTTCTTATTTTACGTTTGATCCAAAGCTCATTGTAGTTTTATGAGTTTGAACTGACAGATGTGTTTCGCTCTTTGAGATGAAGTCAAAATTAGCCAATTCATCAGTTAATTAAGCAGCTATATGTGATCGCCATAGCTGGGTAGTGCAAAATATGGGGCTATAATGAATTAGAGCCAACTCATGGCAGCTGGTTTTATGTGATAGGATGCTGTATGGGATACAAAGAAAGAGAAATCATGTCACTTCAAGAGCTTATGGAGATTGGTCATAGCCCCCAAAAGAGCGTATGTGCTAATGAATGGCCACTCACCAAGTATTCTGGGGCATCTGGAGATAAGAAAGAACAGCAGTGGACTTTGCGAGCTCATTAGGAAGCCTCAGGTGGACATGGAAAAGAAAAGAGCCATGCTGAGAGTAGGATGTGGAGCATGTAGGATGTAGACCAAGAAAATAGCCGCTATGTTATTAGAATCCTGCACGGGGATTGGGGTGGGGGAGCGGGAAACGACACCATTTGGTGTGGAGGAAACCTGCTGTCAGATCAGGACAATCTTAATGTGGCATAATGTCTGTCTTCCCTGCCTGCACTTCCTTGATTCTGGGTCTAATCTGTCCTATTTATGTCTTAAGATTGGTAAGATTTAAGACATACCTACACTGATATAGTTTCATTGATTGGACACACACACACATACACACAACCCTCTTATACCCAAATGAGATTGCATCGACAGGTGTAGGAATTTGTACTTCAACACAATGATGCAGAGTCTGAAGTCAGTTCTCTCTCCCCTGTTGGTATCTCCGATTGGAATAAGGAGGTTGGGGCATCATGACAGTTTGTGAGGTCTCCCATACAAATGGATATGATTATGGGAACCAGGAATGGCAGGATAGTGCATTTGGGTAGGAATTACTATTAGCATTTAACAATCATTTGCTGAAGTACGCAAACAGGTTCTTTCGTAGGCTACCTCTACCAACAAATATCAAGTATAGCAGAAAAGCTCCTATAAGAATTGAACATAGGAGTGCCTCCTATAAGAGACACTCATCTGTGTAAGAGAACTTTATATCAAGAAGTAATCATGCATCAATAAAACACCCCAGCCCAGTCCAGATCAAGTCCATAAATTCGATATAAGCCCATAAGTCTGATACTACCCGTGAATTCCTCTTCAGGCTCACACAGCACATGCAATGATGCCGGATGCAGAAAGATCACTGGCTGGGGCGTGGAAAGTTCTGTAGATCCAATGGCAGTGGACACAGCTCTAGGCTTCTGGCCGCCATCAGAGTGCCTCCATGTGGCTTGTCAACAGGAAGGTGAAAGAGACTGAGAGTGCCTCTCCTCCAGGGAGGAAGAGAGGAAAACTCCCAGAATCCTCATGAGAAGGCCATGCCCACAAGGAGGCATCAATGAGGCTGTGACCTGATTGACAGGCTAGACTCCACCCCTATGACCTGTTTATCACGTTGACATGAAATTATGTCATTACCACACCAAACATGCTATCCATCTCCAAAGACTGGTCCCTCCTGATAACATGTCCAAATACATGAGAGAGTCTTCTCATGCTTCGTTCTAAGAAGCATTCTGGCATTTGCTCCAAGACAGATCTGCTTGTTCTTCTGATAGTCTATGTTATTTTAAATATTCTTTGCCAAAACCATAGTTCAAATCCATCTATTCTTCTCCCCTTTTCCTTATTCATTGTCCAGTTTTCATATGCCTGTTAGATGCCTGAAAATAACTTGGCTTGGGCCAGGTGCACCTTAGTCCTCAAAATGACATAGTTACTCTTCAACGCTTTACAAAAAAGGTCTTTTGTATCAGATTTTCACAATGCAATATGTCATTTGATTTCTTGACAGCTGATTCCATGAGAATTGATTGTGGATCCAACTAAAATGAAATCCTTGACAACTTCAATCTTGTGTCTGTTTAGCATGATATTATCTATGGGTACAATTGTGAGGCTTTTGTCCTCTCTAAATTAAGTTGCAATCCATACTGAAGGCTGTAGTCTCTGATCTTCATCAGCAAGTGCTTCAAACCCTCCTCAATTTCACTATGCATCTGTATCATCTGTGTATCACAGGTTATTAATAAAGCCTTCCTCAATCCTGGATCCATCTTCTTTTCAAAGTGTTTGCTC